ACCATCATTGTCATCATCATCACCATCATCATCATCACCATCATTGTCATCATCATCACCATCATCGTCATCACCATCATCATCATCATCATCATCATCATCATCATCATCATCATCATCATAGTTTGCTTACATCAATATTTTATCATCACACCAATATCTTAAATGCAGTTGTGTCAAATGCTTCATCACTTTGCTACCATTGCATTAGTTTTTCCATCTCTTCATCATTCTTGTCATCAAGTTACTCCGTGTTAGTCATTTCACTTCATTCCTGCTTTACATTTCACTTCATTCCTACTTCACATTTCACTTCATTCCTGCTTTACATTTCACTTCATTCCTACTTCACATTTCACTTCATTCCTACTTCACATTTCACTTCATTCCTGCTTTACATTTCACTTCATTCCTACTTCACATTTCACTTCATTCCTATTTATCATCATATTTATCATCACGTTGTCATAATCACACACATTGTTTTGTTTAACTAATAACGAAGTTAAGTAAAAAACCATCTCTGTCTTGAGCTATTCAATCTTAACTAAAATTTGGAATATTTTTGCGTGTATGTTTTTTGTGAGCAGTTATAATTCTAATTAATTTTTTATTAAACTAAACATCATCATCATCACAATCATCGTCATCTTCTTATTCATCATCATCACTATCATCATCATTATCTTCATCATCATTATCTTCATCATCATCATCACCATCATCATCATCATCATCATCATCATCATCATCATTACTATCCTCATCACAATTATCATCATTATCATTGTTTCATCATCCCACTGGCAACTAGCAAAGCAACCTCCCATCAATATAGTTCACGATCTCTTAAAACTCTTTCTCTCTCTCTCACTCCCACACTTCCTCTCAGCATCTCTCCGCAACGTCTCCCACTCTCATCAATATCTCACAGAAATGGCATCGTAATGAGGGTGCTGAAATTATAATGTGACATAAATTACGAATAATTATGTCTAGAATTACGGGCCATTATTTTACTTGTGCCGGTTCTACGTGCGTGTGTTTGTGTTTGCGTGCGTGCGTTTGCGTGTTTTGTGTGTGTGCGTGTGTTTGCGTGTTTTGTGTGTGCGTGCATGTTCTGCGATGTTTATCAGTTTGTACTTTTGTTTAGACTTTAACACGCGAATATGTGCGTACGTGTGCGTATAATGTTTGCGAAGATTTTAAGGAGGTATGAGTTATTATTATTGTTTGATGTCTGTGTTTAAATATATGTTCGTATGTGTGTGTGTAATGTGATTTGATGGCATTTTATGTGAGTATGTGAAAGAAATAAATAATTTAAAAATGATGATTAATTATATTTCAACATCAATATCATCTGTATAACATTCATAAATAATACAATTCGTTCAACGCAATGTATCATATAGAGCATCCTAACAAACAACAGCTTGTTTAAATTTTTCTAGAATTCTCCAAACCTTCATACAAATATACAAACATTTGAGCATGCATTCAAATAAACAAACATCAAACATTCATGCAAATACAAACAAATGTAGGTATTTAGCATTCAAAAAAGCTTTTTTTATATAACATTCGTTTGTTTCAACTACATATGTATGTATGTATATGTGCGTGCGTGCGTGTGTGTGTGCCAATATGTGTGTGTGCGTACATGTAGTGTACACATTAATTCGTTGTGTACAAGGGCGTATGAATTGAGAAGCAAATTGTTTTGTTAGGCCATGAAATGAGCCCCTTTATAGCGCATTAAATTGTTTATCACGACCGCATCGCTTCTTTCCTCTCCATATAAACCTACCTACCTATACACTGCTTATATCATATGCTATGCATGTATATATACACATATATACATGCACAGTTGTGTGTACGTAATTATTTATTTGTTTGGGTATACATTTTTGCGTGCATGTAACAATGTTAAACGTACGTACGTACGTACGTGGCAATGTGCCTGCGTTGAAATGTGCGTATGTAGATGACAGCAGAGATAAGTTGATGTATGTTTGTGCGTATATATATATATATGTGTGTGTGTGTGTGTGTGTGTGTTTATATATATACAAATATGCAATATTTGATGATATATATTTATATAAATATTTGATAAAATCTAACGAATTTTTAGCTTATGAAAGTTTACGAGCTTTTCAATATTTCTAACTGTAATTTTATAATTATCATCCAATTTATTAAAATTATTAGGAAAATTAGTGGTGTTCATGGTGAAGCGTATTTCGATTTTACTCATCTTCAGCGCTTATATAGGGATATTTCAAGGTTTTACAATTCTCTGTGTGTGCAAAGTGCTTTTATTCTGCTTGGTCCTGTCCGATTATTACATCTCTGTTCTAAACGGACAGGTCAAACAGAATTAAAGCACTTTAACGCACACAGACAATTGTAATACCTTGAAATAAATTTATAACAAAATTTAACGAAATGATAAATTTTTAGACGAAGGATTGGCCCTGAGGATTGGCATCCTTCCTTCTGCTTCGAAGGTTTTCAGTTGATGTTGACGAAATTGAGATTTGTTTCATCCAAACGCAGCAAACAATTTTTAAATGAGACCAGTGAACTGAAATAGAATTGCGCTTCAGTTTTTGGCGTTTCTGGTTTGATGAGGATTGTACGTTATCAAAGCTTAAAATGTTGAAAAATTAATTTTTGCTGAGTGATTAATTCATTGCATTCGTCGACACGACGAATAAATTTTTTTTATAAACAACCTCATGCAGGTTGAATTGAACTGTGTCCGTCTGAACTGCTCACAGTGAGACTCGTTCAGAAGGTCTTCAAGACACACACGCGCACACACATGCCCTATTAAACAACATGTTATTCAAACCGGACATGCATATTCAAACAAGTATATAAATAAAATATGCACATACCCTAATATACACATACACATGCATGCATGCATACAAACATACATACATCTGCACACATGCATACATAAAAGTGCATATGTAACATTGCCTACATACAGAATACAAACCATTGTACAAACATACTAATACAAACATACAAACATACAGCAACGCGTGTACAAACATGGAGCACATAAACACAAGAACAGGGCGTACACTGCGTGTGACAGAAACATGAAACCTATTTGTACGCACTCGTTAAAGAGTTAAATTATTATTATGTTTGTACATCATTTGTGTGTGCCTTGTGTCTGTGTGTATGTGATGGATGCACACGTGTGTAAAGAAGCAACACAACACACGTGCACTTGTTTGTTTAAATTGGTGTGCTCGTGTGCCTGTGTTTGTGTACGTGTGTGCATGTGCGTGTGTTGATGGTTGGAAATGTTAAAAAAATGTTATATAAACGTATATATGTAAGTGTGTGTTTATGTGGCTATATTTACATAAGCGAATGTGTTACATTTTAAGTATTAGTAATTTTAATTAAGTAAGTAATTTTAATTAATTTAAGTAATGTTAAGTAATAAGTACAGGTGTATGTATGCTTGTAGATGATTGTGTGCGTGTAGCCATGCGGATGTGATGCGAGTAGATGTTTAGTTGGTGATGAACGTTGGTTAACTTTATCATTTTCCACATCAGCTTCTAACAGCTTTTGTCAACATCAACT